CTCCCGCTGACTATCCTATATGAAAGGATTTCAGCGCAAAAACAGTTTGATTTTTATGTGTAATCCAACATATTTTACCAAACATTAGCCCCTATTAAATTCAACAACCTAATTTTATTTAAACTGCAAAATTACGGGGGAAAAAAAAGAAATTGGATTTTTTGGACTGATTACTATAGAAATTATGAAGGCAGAAAATATTATATTCATACTTGCTTTTTTTTTTCTTGACATCATATTTCGCTGCATTTGATACTGATATACTTGCAGTAAACCAACATTTTGATAGTGTGTCAAGTTTTGATGTTAATGGTCCCGGGAATGTGAAGAGAAGGGAAAAGAATAAACGTTTAGGAGCATAAAAAAAGTCAATTTTTCAATGTAAACTCTAATCGCTTTTTATCGATAGCATCAACTAAAATTCCCTCATCCTTTTAGGACTTTAATCAATTTCCGGTTTATGGCAATTAAACACTAGCAATTGTATTGAAGACAAATGCGGAAAAACAGTTATTCCAGAAAAAAAACTAATATATCTTTATTGATTGCTAATTAAATTATCAATACATTATCAATGGGATAATGCTGTCGACAAATTTAAGAGATGCCGATATCATCTGGTGATTTTCCTTCTTTCTTTTCTTCTATTCATTCTCAGTTTATATATCAGTTTAACCATTGAAGTTATCCAGTTTATTTAATCAGGAAAAAAGAAAAACAAAAAACTCCCCCACTAACCGTTTCTGTGGCTCAGAAGTTTCTTGTAGCCCGGAATTTATGTCCTCTCTACATTCAACAGCCACTTCATAGTTTCCGCTGGATGTTAAACTGTCGTCATGACGTGTCCGTTTACGTTGCGACGAATAATGCCATCGTCTTAGTATCTTTGGTGCAGGCATCAGCCTATATAATATAGCTGAAAATGAAAAGAATTAAAAAAAAAACAGAGTTAATCTTTAATTTTATAACGATTTTGTAAAGATTAAACAACAAAAAAGCAGACAAAAATAATGACAATATCCAAAAAAACCGATAAGATTCACTGATTTTTCTTTTGTCTATGACAAACGTTGGATGTAATAATCTGCTCTCAGCTCAGTGCTGTGTGTTCTTTCACGGATACTGCAAAATGTAACCAAAAGTAACATTGATACAGCGGAGACAATCAACACAAAATCAATGTTTGGTTATCTAATCAAACCAATACTACATGTTTTTTTCTTTTTTTTTGTGTCTTTTTTTTTCTACTTTATTTTCCGTATTACAGTTCTGAAACTGAAATCAAATTTTCCTTCTTTTTTTTCTTTATTTTTTTTTTCATTTGTTTTTTTATTTATTTATTTTTTTTTTTT